GTTCGAAACGTCGTGATATATTTTATTTCTACCTACGTGACTTTACCGAAAGAACCAAAGAGTATAGCTTCTTGTTAATACGATGTAACCTGATGCAGTATATTTCAGTGCAGTAATTAAATTTTGTTAATATGCCTGTCAATAATTTAGAATTAATACTTGTCTGGTTGTGTGCGTACATGTAGCATTTTGTCTATAAGGGTCAAACATTGAATAAGTGATGTTTGGACAAAGTGTGTGTTTTGGAAGTCATCTGTACAGATAACTCAGATGAGACCTGTTGTATTTTTTGTGTTTTCAGCAAGCGTCTGCCTTTGGAGCAACTCATTGTCTTTGAAATGGGGAGCACACTCGGATAATTCAGTTTCAAGGCATACCACTTAAAAGTTACGTCTTGGAGATACATTCTCTACAACACGAATTATAATTTTGTATCATGTGTTGATGTAGATTTTGTCGAACGAGGACTAGAAATGTTCCTTGCTGATTAACGTCTGGATGTCCGTAACCATGGGTTGAAGCAAGCCCGACTGCTGTTGAGACGCTGTCCACCAATAAAGGTCCACAGGTGGCTTGCACTGAATCAATGATGCACTCCCAGAAGGCTGTGCTAGTTATAGTTTGTGTAAAACATTCCTTTGTTTCGTGGAGAGATCGATAAATGAAAGATGTCATGTCTGCTGATCTGCTTCATAGCAGGGAGGTAATTTTAAAAGTGCATTTGAAATGCATTTTTATTACAGATTTGTATTCAGTGACAAGGCAGAACACATCTAGTAGATACATTCTCCACAACAACACTCATAATTGTGCGTGACGTCTTTTATGTTGGCGAACTAGGACAGGAAATGGTCCTTGCTGATTAACTTCTGGATGTTCACAACCATGGGTTGAAGCAAGCCGGATCCCCTGCGGCGCCTCTGAATAACCATTTACAGCCTTGGGCCAGGAAAGTTATGAAAAAAATTGCACACGAACGACGCATTCACGCAAGCACCCGATGCTCCGTTTTGAAGTTTTAAAATGAAACAACTTTGAATAGTATTGTTTCGAATTAGATAATTGTATTTCTTCATTAAAAGCTTATCATTTTACATCTGAAAGACTACATTCACAAAGAAATTTCGTGTGAATTTTCTCTCGTCATTAAGTAGATGGCCTTGCTGGGGTTTCGGTTCGATGCGGACTTTCACCTGTTTGGGATTGCGGGATCGAGATAAGGCGACACAGAGCTGGCCGTGCCAGAAGACTGCCGTCTGCGATCGATTCCAACGTAATCGAACGTCTGTCTCTGCGCCTCCGTCGTTCGTGCAGCGCCCCCTGCATGAAAACAATGGAAAGTGCAGCAGATATGAAGTTGTGCGCTTGTAACACATTCCTGCGGAGGAAGCTGGTAGGAACGTTGGGTTGCTCGGTCAATCGTCAGGGTCAACGGCGGCGTGGTGTATTCCGCAAATATGCCCGACTGAGGGTGGGCACAAGCCGGCGTGAGTCGGTTAAACGTTGAGTTTTATAAGGGCACCATGGGGTGACCAGCCCCTTCCCACCCAGCCAGCCCCACCCAGCCCCTCCCCACCTCTCGCCACCCAGCCCCACCCCTCCCATTTTTGGATGCGCGACAGACGGACGGACGCAATAATCCCCTGTGGGCTGGTGAAACCAGGAGTTTCTTACCAGTAAAAGACTATTGCCAGTGGGTTTTCAAAGTACCTTCGTCTTACAGAAATCAATTTCGCGTGAGCCCACCGCATTAAAACTGCTCGGCTGAGCGGGGCGAGCCACGGGGGGGGAGGGGGGGGCGGAGAGAGTGGCACCTCCGTGGAGAGCGCGGAAGCAGGGCGATGGTGGCACTGGCGGCGCGGGCTGGCACGGGCACGTCCAGCACCCTTGCCTTCATTTACAATGCGGCTGCCACGGCGCCACCCCCTGGCAAACGGTGGTGGGGGGGGGGGGCAGCCTATGTCACGTGTCATAGCTCACGTGACTGTTTCTTCTGCTGCGACAATGTGGATTTTTTGCCTCAGGACGACCGCTTGTGATCGAAACGTGATTTATTTAGTTTATTTTTTCTACCTACGTGACTTTACCGAAAGAACCAAAGAATATGAAAGACGTCTTGGCTGCTGATCTGTTTCATATGTGTACATCGATATCCCACATTGCTTACACGTACACACCACAGTGACAATAGAAATAAGAGCCACTTCTGGGGATGGGCAAAGAGCAAGGAATCTCTTTCAATGGAGCGAGTTAAGTTTCAATTTGAAGCTTTCGTGACTGCAAGGATTCATACACTTTGGTTTTTTATATGAACTCACGTAGGTAAAAAACCAAGTAGGAAAAAAATTAATGAAATAAAATAAATGAAAATCAATAAAATAAATGAAAATAACTAGATTTAGTTTTCATTTATTATTACAACTAGATTTAGTTTTCATTTATTTTTTTACCGAAAAAAACAAAGAGTACGAGTTACCTTCTTTGGTTCTTTCGGTAAAGTCACGTAGAATGATAATAAAATAATACATTGATAAAATAAAATAACACAATAATATTCTCACGACGTTTCGGCCACAACACAAGCGGCCTTCATCAGGTGAAGGGGGCGAGACTGTCTGGTAGGACAGCGCTGGAGTGAAAGAGCCACGTTCAGATACGGCCTTTAAGCTGTGTGAGAGGAACAAAGCGCCTTAGAGTCGCGGCATCTCTTCAGAAAGGTGAGAGACTCGATTAGTTGAGCCTTCTTATCCCGAAGTCTGTTGAATGATCTTAAGGATGTGTGGAATCCCTCCCCGTAGAGGCGGTTAAATTTCGATTTAAAGCTTTCGTGACTGCAATGATTCATCTTCTTTGGTTCTTGAAGGCCGTATCTGAACGTGGCTCTTTCACTCCAGCGCTGTCCTACCAGACAGTCTCGCCCCCTTCACCTGATGAAGGCCGCTTGTGTTGTGGCCGAAACGTCGTGAGAATATTATTGTGTTATTTTATCAATTTATTATTTTATTATCATTCTACGTGACTTTACCGAAAGAACCAAAGAAGATGAATCATTGCAGTCACGAAAGCTTTAGTACGAGTTACGTTTGTTCGATTCAACATCTCCATTTCTGCCTGTGTCTCTGTTCGCCTCTGTGTGTCTCTCTCTGCCTGTGTCTCTGGAGCGTGCCACTAAGAGATGGGGCCTTACCATCAGCCCCACCAAAACTAAGCACCTGCCTGGGTATTTTGTACCATCGGACACCCAACAATTCCCAATCGGTGATGGGGCAGTTGTGGAGAGAGTGAAGAGTTTCCCATACCTGGGCAGTGTGCTTATGACTGGCTCCAGTTTAACAGCAGAGGTCTCACTCCGAATCAGTCGAGCGGCAATATCTTTTCATCGGTTGCGTAACGCTGTGTGGAAGCTACCTGGTCTGTCACTCCGCACTAAGCTTCAGGTCTTCTCGGCCACGGTCATTCCCTCCCTTCTCTACGCTTGCGAAACGTGGACCCCCCTAATGAAACATCTTCGCCGGTTAGAAACATTTAGGCTCGCTTGCCTACGATCCATCCTGGGTTTAACCAGGCTGGACTGTGTGAGGAGCTCACGAATCTTTGAAAGATCTGGGCAAGGTCCCATCGTTGAGCTCCTCCGGCGGGCAAGGCTACGTTGGCTGGGTCATGTAGTCCGCATGCCCAGCCACCGCATGCCGAAACAGCTTTTGTTCGGCCGGATCGAGGGGGCTAAACGGGCGCGGCACAGGCTAGAGAAGAGATGGAGTGATGTGGTACAGGAGGACGTGGAGCTGAGTGGACTTGCTGATGACTGGTACCAGCGGTGTCAAGATCGGCCTCTGTGGAGGAGGCTCGTGAAGGACGCTACTAGGCAGTTGGAGGCAGTCGCCCTCCAACAACAACGGAGGGCGGAGGAGCGACGCTCACAACAACGAGCAGAGCGCCGGGTGGCTAAAGCACAGCAGGTTGGCACAGTAGGGGGCACAGGTGGTGCATCAGCCAGTCATCTTAGTCGACCCGAGGCACTTGGGTCTGCCCCGTGACCTGCCAGCGGGCGTACAACACTTCACGTGGCCTCAAGGTGCACATGGCCTGGCACAAGCGTCGTGGTGACGTCACCGCCACTTAGTGGCGAATGGCGGTTGTTGTGTCTCTGTCTATGTCGTCTCTCTCTGTCTCTGTGTTCCTCTTGTCTGTCCGCCTGTCTTGTCTGTCTGTGTGTGTCTATCAGCGTCTGTCCAACCGTAGTCAACGACTGTCAGTAGCAGCAGGCGCCCGTTCAACTCCTACGGCTACACGCCACTCAAACTTGCTCCCAACACAAAGATCCCCCGTATAGCCTGGACAGAATGTTGGGGCAAGTGCTGTTAGCGAGCACCTATTAAGGGTGGGACGGCACACGAGGGGGTGGGTCCCCAGCACCACGCCCGGCCGCCTTTGTCTCCCTAGTGGCGATGTTTACACACCGCACCGGGTACTCGTTTGAGGCTGAGTCGACGTAGGGGAGGCTCAGGACCGGTTCAGAAAATCGTCACTGGTTAAGGGCACGAGCGGGAATTGAACTCGGCTGGTAGAGTGCGGAGCGCAGCGCTCACCACGACACTGCCGCGTCAACAAACTTGAATTCTGACCCCGCTCTCTGACGTCACTGCTCAGCATGACCTCATTGGCGTCAAACGCAACGGGGAGGTGTGCCTCGCTAGTGACATCATGTCACCACGGTATTCGCCCACCCCCGAGCTCTTGAGCGTGACGTCACCTCCGCTAGGCCGCTTCCGATGTCTGTTCCAGTGCAATCCTTATTTGGGCAAAGCCACGCCCAGTGACTGGCGGCTTATTAACATAATGTCTTCGTGAAAGCCGAGGCGACGGGTTCAGCACCCACGCACCATCCCTCGACATATGGGCCAGGTTCATTAACATAATTTATTCATACTCTGGTTCTTTAGATAAAGTTACGTAGGTAAACAAAATAATAAATACAATATTTGTTTTGCCTACGTGACTTTACCTAAAGAACCAAAGAGTATGGATCATTGCAGTCACGAAAACTTCAAATCTAGAATAATTTATTCACGTACGGAGCCGTTCATTGTGGGAGTGTTATCGTACCTCACAAGTGACGTCATGTCAGCTGCTGGCGCGTGACGTCGCGAGGTAACAGGAATCTGCCGCTCCGTCCGTGCACTGAAATCGGAGGTGAGAAATTCTCATCGCGGTGGTGATTGTGGTTGTTGTGATGGTGGTTGTTGTTTACCGAGGTAGAGCCTCGCTCTTTCTCTCGTAGGGATGTCAATTGAGTAGCAGCGAGCATGGAAGCGATGTCCCGGTTGGAAATTTACAACGCGGGGCCTTGCCTCCTGCCCTCGCCTGATCGCGTTTGCTTCAATTATCTTGCCTAATTTTAATTTGTCTTCACCTGGCTCGCCACTTTGTAACTTTGTTTTATTTTAAATATTCACACAATTTTTTTCATTTTTTTACCAGGCCGAGCCCGCTTGAGCTGCTATATCGCTCTTGTTTTCAGAAGCGGCCTGCCCACAACAACAAGGTGAGGCTTATTCTTAGTTTTTTCGGTAAAGTCACGTTGAAGAGAAACAACAAAATAACAAAATATATATAAAACAATAAAAAATTCTCACGACGTTTCGACCATAACTCAAACGGTCATCATCAGGTGTGTTGGTTTGCATAAATTTATTTTTAAACGGCACATTTATTTATTTATAAAAAAACGTTGGCGTCACGCGCAGCGATTTGGCAGTTTGCCCAGGACTAGTCCATCTATTTTTTTAAAAAGAGGAGGGGGGAGACGAAATTTTTTATAATGTATGCTGTCTGAAAGCCACTGTAAGCGTGAACAATCAATTAAGAACTGAAATGATTTATCAAATCTTTCCAATGATTGCTAAGATAGAATCCATCTTCTCGGTTGAAATTGTCTCTGTGCTTGTATATGTGGATAGCCTCATGAACGAATCTCTCATGGAAGCCAGATGGCTTACAAAGAACCTCCGTCTTGGAAAAGTCAATGGCATGTGAGCCTACTGAATTAGAACAATGATCTGCTACGGCCGAGGTGTTGGTCCTACCGTGTTTAAGGTCTGCTTTATGTTCACGAATGCGGTCCGAGACATGGCGTTTGGTTTCTCCAATGTAACTACTACCACAGAGGCAACTTAGTTTGTAGACACCAGGGTATTGTATGTCCGGAATCACATCTTTTACAGACGGAACCAGATCACGGATTTTATGTAATGTGTTGAAACGGACCTGGATCTTGTGTTTATTCAAGATTTTGGAGATTTTTTTTGTGATCCCAGCAATGTAGGGTAAAGTGATGGTTTTGAAAGGCTCCTCAAGAGGGTTCTTCTTCATGGTTTGAGTGATAGCTTTGTGAATTGTATAGTCGGAGTAACCATTAGCCCTAAGAGCTTGGTGTACGTGCTTGAGTTCACTGCTTATGTGTTCCTGGTCGGATATGCATTGGGCTCTATGATACAGAGTCTTGATGAGAGAATTCTTCTGTGATGGATGGTGGTGGGAATCCGGTTTCAGATAAGCATCCGTATGGGTAGCTTTCCTGTAGACAGAGTGGCTCATTGAACCATCAGGTCTCTTTTTAATTAGGACATCCAAAAAAGGTATCTTGCCATCTATTTCGACTTCCATGGTAAATCTGATGGCTGGGTGTATGGAATTGATGTGGTCGAAGAATTGGTCTAGAGCAGGCCGGCCATGTGGCCAGATGACAAAAGTGTCATCCACGTACCTCTTCCATAAGGTTGGGCGCAGAGTGGCAGTCTGGATGGCGTCAGTCTCAAATTTCTCCATGAAAATGTTAGCTATAACTGGAGAAAGGGGGGAGCCCATTGGGGTGCCCTCAGTTTGTTTGTAGAAAGTTCCATTCCAAGTGAAGTATGTATTGGTTAAACAGTGTCTCACCAGGGGGGGTACCTCAGTGTTTAGTCCTTGATGAACCAAGTCTTCAATGATTGCAATGGTGTCAGGTACAGGAACCTTGGTGAATAAGGAAACTACATCAAAACTGACAAGCAGGTCGTCTGGGGACAGGGAAATACCCTTGATTGTTGATACCAGGTGAGTAGAATTTTGTACCGCAGAGGTGGTCTTTCCAGTGAAAGGACGCAGGATTTCAGACAAAAAACGAGCTAGTTTGTAGGTGGGGGAGCTGATAGTAGAGACTATGGGACGAAGAGGTGTATCAACTTTATGTATTTTTGGTAAGCCGTATAATCTTGGTGGCCTGGCAGCAGGTTTCAACGAAAACTGTTTAGATTGATCAATTAATGCGGTTGAATCAGAAATTATTTTGTTGGTTTGTGTGACGAGGCTGTTGGTGGGATCTCTTTTTATTTTTGTATAACTACCATCGTCGAGTAATTCTTTAATTTTGTTGTTGTATTCTATTTTATCCATGATGACAGTAGCATTGCCTTTGTCAGCTGAGAGAACTACAATATCATTCCTCTTTTTTAATTTATATAATTCAAAACGCTCATCTTTGCTGAGGTTGCTAGCTGGCATCTTAGCGTTTTTGAGGGTTGCAGCGATTTCAGATCTTGCTACGTCTGCAGCGATGTGACCCAGGCCACTGAGAGCAACGTCTACTTGGGCAATTATATCATTAACTGGTATGTGTTTAGGTGTGACTGCAAAGTTTAGACCTTTAGCTAAAACGGATTTCAGACCATCGGAAATAGAACTGTTACTGCGATTAATTACGACTTTATTAACGTCTAACTTTTTGGTGTGTGGGTCCGGTCTTTTGTTGAAGAGGAGGTTAAATTTGGAAATCAGGTTTTCCTTACATTTGGTCGACATAGTAGCAGCTGAAGAGGCAGTCATATTGTCTACATGTTCCCAATCCGATGTGGACATTATTGCCGTCAATGATAAGTGTGATTTGTAGAGTGTCTTGTCTAACTGATCTAGTTCTGTGCGTATAAGTCCGATTTTTTCTGAGATAAGAGCTAAGCTAGTTTTGAAAAGAATTCGTTTCGCATTAGAAGAAGTTACAGCAGCAGAGGTCAGTGTAAATGCGATTGGTATTACCCCAGAGTCGCGGCATCTCTTCAGGAAGGTGAGAGACTCGATCAGCTGAGCTTTCTTATCCCGGAGTTTGTTGAAGGATCTTAAAGTTATGTGAAAACCCTCCCCGTAGAGGCGATTAAATTTTGATTTAAAGCTTTCGTGACTGCAGTAATTCATATTCTTAGTTTTTTCGGTAAAGTCACGTTGAAGAGAAACAACAAAATAACAATATATATATAAAACAATAAAAAATTCTCACGACGTTTCGACCATAACTCAAACGGTCATCATCAGGTGTGTTGGTTTGCATAAATTTATTTTTAAACGGCACATTTATTTATTTATAAAAAACGTTGGCGTCACGCGCAGCGATTTGGCAGTTTGCCCAGGACTAGTCCATCTATTTTTTTGAAAAGAGGAGGGGGGAGACGAAATTTTTTATAATGTATGCTGTCTGAAAGCCACTGTAAGCGTGAACAATCAATTAAGAACTGAAATGATTTATCAAATCTTTCCAATGATTGCTAAGATAGAATCCATCTTCTCGGTTGAAATTGTCTCTGTGCTTGTATATGTGGATAGCCTCATGAACGAATCTCCATATATATAAAAGACAAAGTTGTGAAAATGTGTGTCTGTTCAAAATGTTTAGCGTACTTTCCGACATGCAACACACTTTAAATTTGCCGTGTGGGTACTTTCCAGACTGTACACCATGCAAAAATTATAAAAATAGACTTTTTTTAGGGAGGGGGAGCTCAATCATGCATGTAGTTTTTTGCACGGCAAGTGAGCTGTGACGTCAAATCTGTCACGTGACCCTCGCATGTGGAAGCGTAACGCATTGTCGTGAAGCGGTTAGCACGCCTCGCTACAAACCCGGCGACCCTAGTTCGATTCCCGCTCATGGCCACCACCCGGTGACGATTATTTGAACCGATTCTGGGCCTCCACTAGGTCGACTCAGCCTCAAACGAGTAACTGGTGTGGTGTGAACATCGCCACTGGGGAGACAAAGGCGGCCGGGTGTAGTGAATCCAAGTCCCGGGCGAAGTCGGGTAGTACAGCTAGTATTAAGATAAATTGGAATTTTACGACCCCCCCCCCACTGCCACCGTGTGGCATATTATTACGTGCCAGGGACTCTATGAGATGATAGGACAACAGTCCGAGTCCATAATTGGCAATAATTAACGGTAAACCAGTTGCAAGCGACTCACAGAAGTGTGCGTAGTTGCGTATACAGTACACGACTTCCCTGAAGGCAAACACCTTCAGCGAGCACGATGCCGATCACACGCGTCGAATACAAAGCAAGGGACAAGCCCTTACTTACTAACAACTCCTTACTAACAACTCCTTACTAACAACTATCATTTTTCATTGCTGGAGGGGTTGCCCCCCCCCCCCCCCACCTGAACATCTTGGCTCTGCCTCTGAGTGTGTGACAGTGTCAAGTTTGTATTTGTAGTAAAGTCTATTAACTCTATCTTGATTTGAAGCTTTCGTGACTGCAGGAATCCATACTCTTTGGTTCTTTCGGTAAAGTCACGTAGGTAGAAAATAAAATAAAAAACAATGTTTCGGGTGCAACACAAGCACCCATCCCACCTCATGATGGACGCTTGTGTTGCGCCTGAAACGTTGTGATTTATTTTATTTTATACCTTCGTGACTTTACCGAAAGAACCAAAGAGTATCTGTTAACTCTATTTAGCACGGAGGTGAAATCTAAAGAGGAGTTTATTTTTGTTTTCCTCTTGAACTCTTTGTAAGAATGGAGTCAGGAAGTTATCACAGCACACGTGCAGCTGAAGTCAGAACTGTTCATCCCAGCATTCAAGGAAATCTGAGCCTGATTTCACACCTCTAAGTTGCGATTGAATGTTAATTTATGCATTTCTGCATAACACAAATATTTTTTTCAACGCCCTTTGCTACGTCAGCTGAATTTAGCTTTTATAAATATTACGTTTTTAGCCAGACAGCCGAAATTGTGTGCTCGGAGTTTTGGGTTAACATTCATTTTGAAGATAATAGGGCTTCCAGGCATATGTGTGACAATGTGCCCTCTCATTGTGTGCAATCACAGCCTGTGTGATGAATTTGGGAAACTTTTTCACTACATTATGAATATATTAATAAGTATAGACATGTAAGTCATGTGTTACTGTATATATGCATTCCTCTGTGCCTCGATACTGATGTGTAGATGGTTTGGATGTCATTTTTTTTCTGTCTGCAGCTGTCGCTTCGTCTGCAGAATTGGTCTGATGGAGCAAAGGCACTCGGCGCAGCTCGGTGCAAAAAGGCAACATTGGGACCAGTGTGCAAACAGCATGGATCATACTGGAAATTTTACACAGCACCAGAGAACACACAAAGTAGAGAAACCTTTCAAGTGCACTGTGTGTGACAAGGCATTTGCACGGCCATCAGTTCTTCAGGCCCACCAGAGAACACATACAGGAGAGAAACCTTTCAAGTGCACTGTGTGTGACAAGGCATTTGCACGGCCATCAGTTCTTCAGGCCCACCAGAGAACACACATGGGAGAGAAACCCTTCAAGTGCAGTGTGTGTGGGAAGGCATTTTCAAAGTCAACTGTTCTTAAAAAACACCAGAGAACACACACAGGAGAGAAACCCTTCAAGTGCACTCTGTGCGGTATGGCGTTTTCAGATTCATACAATCTTGTAATACACCAGAGAACTCACACAGGAGAGAAACCCTTCAAGTGCAGTGTGTGTGGGAAGGCGTTTGCACATTCATCTAATCTTGTAGCACATCAAAGAACACACACAGGAGAGAAACCCTTCATGTGCACTGTGTGTGGGAAGGCGGTTGCACATTTATCTTCTCTTATGGCACACCAGAGAACACACACGGGAGAGAAACCCTTCATGTGTAGTGTGTGTGGGAAGGTGTTTGCACATGCATCTCCTTTTGCAGCACACCAGAGAACACACACGGGAGAGAAACCCTTCAAGTGCAGTGTGTGTGGGAAGGCGTTTGCAAATTCATCTGCTCTTGTAGCACACCAGAGAACACACACGGGAGAGAAACCCTTCATGTGCACTGTGTGTGGGAAGGCGGTTGCACAGTCATCTTCTCTTATAGCACACCAGAGAACACACACGGGAGAGAAACCCTTCATGTGCCGTGTGTGTGGGAAGGCTTTTGCACATGCATCTGCTTTTGCAGCACACCAGAGATCACACACGGGAGAGAAACCCTTCAAGTGCAGTGTGTGTGGGAAGGCGTTTGCACATTCATCTCCTCTTGTAGCACACCAGAGAACACACACGGGAGAGAAACCCTTCAGGTGCACTCCATGCGGGAAGGCATTTACACTTTCATCAAATCTTCATGCCCACCAGAGAACACACAAGCATCAGAAAATCTACAAGGAGTGGAATCTGAAATCAGCTTGTGAAAGTCAAAGTGCCGCAATGAGCCCATCCCTCATGAAACAAGAACCGGAAGAAAATCCCAGCTTGGACACTTTTAAAGGTGTCGAGGTGAAATATGAAGAGGTGAAGGTGAAATGTGAAGAAGTGATGGTGAAGAGCGAAGAAGTGAAGGAAAAATGTGAAGATGAAGATTCGACTCCAAAATCGAACCTTCACATCGATGGAGGCAACGTGAAGCAGGAGGAGAATTCTGACTGCGAGGCAGAGCAAAGCAACTCCCAGCAGTTTGTGGAAGTGGAAGTCTGGGTGGACTTCCGAGACAATACAAAGTCAAATGGAGACCCGGTAGATGTGTAAGCTTGAGACGATGGCGCTCCAATAGATGCACCTTTGTCACAGGCCTTGAATGACAAGAATGTGAAGTTGAACACTCAATTCCGAGGTTCAACCTGCAGGGTAAGAGCGGCCAGTCTTTGTGGAGCGAGAGCCAATAAGCTCCCAAGCATTGAGACCTCCTTTGCCAGTAACAAGATATAGTAATAGGTTTTTACCCTTTTATCTGGCACAAAAACTGATACCTTTATACAAGATGACGCCTTTTGGCGTCATCTTGGTCCAATACCAGTGGAGACTAGACTCTAAGAAAAGCCGTCTTGGGTGTGGACCAATCAAATTCAAGGACGGTACATAACATCAGAGTTGTCTTTATTGTTTGCATTTTGACTGCTTGTATTGTGGTTAGTGCAAACATGATTGCTTGTATAAAGGTATCAGTTTTTGTGCCAGATAAAAGGGTAAAAGATCGCAAGCATTCACTGTTCTAATAATTGCATTTATATGGTGCTTGCTTAATCGCCTCGGCAATTCAGAGTTTTGTATCGTATCTCGTCTCAAACACTCGAAGAGCATCCCCAAGTAGCAGCTGCCTCTGTGTGGCACAAGGTGGTGGCCCTGCACCGTCCTGCATGTGGACAAGAGCCTGTCAGCAGGGGGCGATGATTGATGTGTTATCTCAGCTATGTCATTTTTAGGTAATGTTTAGAACTTGCTAAATTTTGACCGAGATGCCAGCATGCAATGGCCTACTCGTTTTGAATGACGCAATAATATATTGTACGTACACTGTTAAGCAGATGGTGCATACTTTTTAAAAAATAGCTTGTTAAATTAGGAGTGGATTCCTGCAGTCACGAAGGCTTCAAATCAAGATTGAACTGCCTCTACGGGGAGGGTTTCCACACATCTGTTAGAGCTGTTAACATACTGTGAAACAAGAAGGCTCACATGATCGAGTCTCTGACCTTTCTGAAGAGATGCCACGACAACAAGGTAATATCTTCTTTGGTTCTTTCCGTAAAGTAACGTAGAATGAGAATAAAATAATAAACTAATAAAATAGAATAACACAAAATTCTCACGATGTTTCGGCCACAACACAAGTGGCCTTCAGGTGAAAGGAATAGACCTGTCAGGACGACAGAGCTTCAATGAACGTTAAGATTCGTAGCGTCTTTTAAGCTGGTTTAGAAAAGTGAGGCACCTTGACAAAGGGGTTTACATATTAAACAGGAAAATTTAGCATTGAAATAGCTGAGTGATTAGCTTGTGACTGGTCATAGAAATCGCTATGTTGAAGTCAAAGGCTACACATCCACAGAGGCACCTAGTACAAATCAAATAGGAGAATTTAACATTGAAATAACTGAGGGATTAGCTTGTTACTGGTCATAGAAATAGCTATGTTAAAGTCAAAGCCTACACATCTACAGCGGCACCTAGTACAAATCAAACAGGATAATTTAACATTGAAATAGCTGAGTGATTAGCTTGTAATACCAATCGCTTTTACTCACACTTGACATTAATAGATGAAATGTCCACATCTGATTGGAGCCTTGTAGACAACATGATTGCCTGATGACCGATGCTTGTGTTGTGTTCGAAACGTGATATTTCTATTTACGTGACTTTACCGAAAGAGCCAAATAGTATAGCTTCTTGTTAATACGATGTAACCTGATGCAGTATATTTCAGTGCAGTAATTAAATTTTGTTAATATGCCTGTCAATAATTTAGAATTAATACGTGTCTGATTGTGTGCGTACATGTAACATTTTGTCTAGAAGGGTCAAACATTGAATAAGTGATGTTTGGACAAAGTGTGTGTTTTGGAAGTCATCTGTACAGATAACTCAGGTGAGACCTGTTGTATTTTTTGTGTTTTCAGCAAGCATCTTCCTCTGGAGAAACTCATTGTCTTTGAAATGGGGAGCACACTCTGATAATTCAGTTACAAGGCATACCACTTAAAAGTTACATATAGGAGATACATTCTCTACAACACGAATTATAATTCTGTATTATGCGTTGATGTAGATTTTGTCGAACGAGGACTAGAAATGTTCCTTGCTGATTAACGTCTGGATGTCCGTAACCATGGGTTGAAGCAAGCCCGACTGCTGTTGAGACGCTGTCCACCAATAAGGGTCCACAGGTGGCTTGCACTGAATCAATGATGCACTCCCAGAAGGCTGTGTTAGTTATAGTTTGTGTAAAACATTCCTTTGTTTCGTGGAGAGATCGATAAATGAAAGATGTCATGTCTGCTGATCTGCTTCATAGCAGGGAGGTAATTTTAAGAGTGCATTTGAAATGCATTTTTTTACAGATTTGTATTCAGTGACAAGGCAGAGCACATCTAGTAGATACATTCTCCACAACAACACTAACAATTTTGCGTGACGTCTTATATGTTGGCAAACTAGGACAGGAAATGGTCCTTGCTGATTAACTTCTGGATGTTCACAACCATGGGTTGAAGCAAGCTGGACCCCCTGCGGCGACACGAATAACCATTTACGGCCTTGGGCCAGGAAAGTCATGAAAAAAATTGCACACGAACGACGCATTCACGCAAGCACCCTATGTTCCGTTTTAAAGTTTTAAAATGAAACAACTGTGAATAGTATTGTTTCCAATTAGATAATTGTATTTCTTCATTAAAAGCTTATAATTTTACATCTGAAAGACTACATTCATAATACATTTCGTGTGAATTTTCTCTCGTCATTAAGTAGATGGCCTTGCTGGGGTTTCGGTTCGATGCGGACTTTCACCTGTTTGGGATTGCGGGATTGAGGTAAGGTGACACAGAGCTGGCCGTGCCAGAAGACTGCCGTCTGCGATCGATTCTAACGTAATCGAACGTCTGTCTCTGCGGCTCCATCGTTTGTGCAGCGCCCCCTGCATGAAAACGACGGAAAGTGCAGCAGATAGATGAAGTTGTGCGCTTGTAACACATTCCTGCGGAGGGAGCTGGTAGGAACGTTGGGTTGCTCGGTCAATGTCCAGGGTCAACGGCGGCGTGGTGTATTCCATAAATGTGCCCGACTGAGGGTGGGCGCAAGCTGGCGTGAGTAGGTTAAACGTTGAGTTTTATAAGGGCACCACGGGGTGACCAGCCCCTCCCCACCCAGCCCCACCCCTTCCATTTTTGGATGCACGACAGACGGACGGACAAAAATCCCCTGTGGGCTGGGTAAAACCAGGAGGTTCCTACCAGTATAAGAGTATAGCCACTGGGTTTTCAAAGTACCTTCGTCTTACAGAAATCAATTTCGCGTGAGCCCACCGCATTAAAACTGCTCGGCTGAGCGGGGCGAGCCACGGGGGGAGGGGGGGTGGAGAGAGTGGCACCTCCGTGGAGAGCACGGAAGCAGGGCGATGGTGGCACTGGCGGCGCGGGCTGGCACGGGCACGTCCAGCACCCTTGCCTTCATTTACAATGCGGATGCCACGGCGCCCACCCCCTGGCAAACTGCGGGGGGGGGGGGCAGCTTATGTCACGTGTCATAGCTCACGTGACTGTTTCTTCTGCCGCGACGTATGGATGTTTTTGCCTGAGGACGACCGCTTGTGATGAGGACGACCGTCGTGATTTATTTTTTATTTTTTCTACCTACGTGACTTTACCGAAAGAACCAAAGAGTATGAAAGACGTCTTGGCTGCTGATCTGTTTCATATCTGTGTAAATCGATATCCCACTGCTTACACGCACACACCACAGTGACATTAATAGAAATAAGAACGACTTCCGGGGATGGGCAAAGAGCGAGGAAGCTCTTTCAATGGAGCGAGTTAAGTTTAGATTTGAAGCTTTTGTGACTGCAAGGATTCATACTGTTTGGTTTTTTCGATGAAGTCACGTAGGTAAAAAATCACCAGGTAAAAGATTAAATAAATAAAATTAATGAAAATCAATAAAATAAATGAAAACTAGATTTAGTTGTTTTCATTTATTTTTTACCGAAGAAAACAAAGTACGAGTTACGTTTGTTCGATTCAACATCTCTCTCTGCCTGTGTCTCTGTTCTCCTCTGTGTCTCTCTCTGCCTGTGTCTCTGTCTACGTCGTCTCTATCTGTCTTTGTGTTCCTCTTGTCTGTGTCTGTCCGCCTGTCTTGTCTGTCTGTGTCTATCAGCGTCTGTCCAACCGTAGTCAATGACGTCAGTAGCAGCAAGCGCCCGTTCAGCTCCCACGGCTACACGCCACTCAAACTTGCTCCAAAGACAAAGATCCCCCGTATAGCCTTAACGGACAAGGGGGCAAGTGCTGTTAGCGAGCACCTATTAAGGGTGGGACGGCACCACGCCCGGCCGTCTTTGTCTCCCTAGTGGCGATGTTTACACACCGCACCGGGTACTCGTTTGAGGCTGAGTCGACGTAGGGGAGGCTCAGGACCGGTTCAGAAAATCGTCACTGGTTAAGGCCACGAGCGGGAATTGAACTCGGCTGGTCGGGTGCGGAGCGCAGCGCTCACCACGACACTGCCGCGTCAACAAACTTGAACTCTGACCCCGCTCTCTGACGTCACCGCTCAGCAGACCTAATAGGCGTCAAACGCCAGGGGGAGGTGTGCCTCATCTAGTGACATCATGTCACCACGGTATTCGCCCTCACCCGACCACTGAGCTCTTGAGCATGACGTCACCTCCGCTAGGCCGCTGGCGATATCTGTTCCAGTGCAATCCTTATTTGGGCAAAGCCACGCCCAGTGGCTGGCGGCTCATTAACATAATGTCTTAGTGAAAGCCGTTGCAACGGGTTCAGCACCCACGCACCATCCCTCGACATATGGGCCGGGCATTAACATAATATATTCTGACGTCATGTCACCTGCTGCCGCGTGACGTCGCGAGGTAACAGGAAACTGCCGCTCCGCCCGTGCACTGAAATCCGAGGTGAGAAATTCTCATCGCGGTGGTGGTTATGGTCATTGTGGTTGTTGTGGTGGTTGTTGTTGTTTATCGAGGTAGGGCCTCGCTCTTTCTCTCTCTTAGGGATGTCAATTGAGTAGCAGCGAGCATGGAAGCGATGTCCCGGTTGGAAATTTACAACGCGGGGCCTTGCCTCCTGCCCTCGCCTGATCGAGTTTGCTTCAATTATCTCGCTTAATTTTAATGTGTCTTCACCTGGCTCGCCACTTTGTAACTTTGTTTTATTTCACATATTGACACAATTTTTTTTTTACCAGGCCAAGCCCGCTTGAGCTGCTATACCGCTCTTGTTTTCAAACGCGACCTGCCCACAACAACACCAGGTGAGGCTTGTCAACAGCGTCGTGGTGTTCACTCTAGACGCGTGGTGGTGTTCATTCTAGACGCGTGGTGGTGTTCACTCTAGACGAATGGTGGTGTTCACTCTAGACGCGTGGTGGTGTTCACTCTAGACCCGTGGTGGTGTTCACTCCAGACGAATGGTGGTGTTCACTCTGGACGCGTGGCGGTGTTCACTCTATACAGGTGGAGGGGAAACCGGGTGGTCCGGAGGGACATCCACGCGACCACGGGGAGAGAGAGAGACACGCAGCCTCGGCTGCGTTGATTGCTCCTCAATGAATTACTTGGTGGAGTGAGGAAGCATTAATACTAAGCAGGTGAAGGTGGCCAGGCGTGGGCCTGGACACACCACCACCTGTGAACCATGCCAGTGCGTGACAGTGGTGGAGCCAGTGGGGTTGGGGTGGCACGTGCCCCCCCAACGATCCGATCGAAATCCCTAATTTCCATCGGATCATTTGGGTTTATTAGTAACTAGCTTCACTGCCCGGCTTCGCCCGTAACTTTGATTCTTGTCTTGGATTCATTTCATATTCCCTTATTTCACTGAAAAACCCTGAAAAAAATTGATGCTTGCAAAAATGAAAAAAGCCGAAACAAATCAATTTAAGTAAATCGGATGTTTTCACTGAAGGAAATTCAACCTTAACCCACTTCTACGTAAGGTCGATTTTGGCTACTCGGGAAGGGAATGACGTGGCGAACTGAAAATAGTCGCGTTCACTTAGAAATTCCAGACAACATAAGCTGTGAAAATGTAATGATGCCAGAGCTCAGAATTGGAGAGTTCTTGCTGCTTTACACAAACAAATAGATGTAATTTCTGCTTTATATTTAAGATAGCAGTTGTACCCGTTCTTTGTACGGAGGATATGTATTGACACTCCAAGAAGCCAATGACTTCATCGGCCAGGAGGGAAGCGCAATACCTAAAATCTCCCGGCACGCCGTTAACAGCTCTAGAAGTTCTAGATTTGAAGTTTTCGTGACTGCAAGGATCCATACTCTTTGGTTCTATTCGGTAAAGTCACGTAAAAAACAAAAAATTCACAACTTTTCGGCCACAACACAAGTGGCCTTCATCAGGTGAAGGGACCAGACTGTCTAGAGGACAGCGCTGGAGTGAACACAGCCAAGCTCAGACCACGGCCTTTTTTAAGCTGTGTGCGAGGAAGCAGAGCACCTTGACAAAGGAATCAGCATAAAAAATAGGATTTAATTGGCGGACTCAGCATGATGAACGATGTAGAGGGTGGGAGCATGTGCAGACCGGTGAGGGGGGGAGGGGGAGGGGAGTTTTCATATTGATGGTGTGAAAAGGGAATTTAAGCAGCTGCGAAAGTTTGGGATACCACTACTTGAAAAAATATACTGTACCATTGAAAATTAGTTTAATGTTTGGTTTGATTCAGAACATCTTTCCAATGGTTGCTTAATTTGAAACCATCCTCTCAGTTGAAATTGTGTCTGTTTGTAAATCTGAATTGCCTCGTGAACAAATCTCTGATAAAAACCCATGGGTTTATCAAACCCATGATAAAGTGGCCTTCACCTGATGAAGGCTACTTGTGTTGTGACCGAAACGTGAATTTTTTATTTTTTGTTGTTTTTTACTTGACTTTACCGAATAGAACCAAAGGGTATAGCTCTAGAAGTACGGCGCGCGAAGAGCCATATGGTAGGGGTAAGCATTGCAGAGCGCTTAACTCAGGTGTTGTGGGTTGACGCCACTTCATGGTCATTCCCCCTCCTCCCCCCAAATACAAAAGTATTTTTATACTTTTTGCATTGTGTACAGTTTGGAATCTACCCACATGCCAAATTTCAAGTGTGTAGCATGTTGGGAAGTATGCTAAACATTTCGAACAGACACGTATCCACACATTTTCCTTTTATATCTCCATATATATAAAACACAAAGTTGTGAAAATGTGTGTCTGTGCAAAATGTTTAGCGTACTTCCCGACATGCAACAAACTTGAAATTTGCCGTGTGGGTACTTTCCAGACTGTACACCATGCAAAAATTATAAAATAACTTTTTTTTTAGGGGGGGGGGGGCTCAATAATGCATGTAGTTTTTTGCACGGCAAGTGCGCTGTGACGTCAAATCTGTCACGTCACCCTCGCATGTGGAAGCGTAACGCATTGTAGTGTAGCCGGTTAGCGCGCCTCGCTACAAACCCGGCGACCCTAGTTCGATTCCCGCTCATGGCCACCACCCGGTGACGATTATTTGAACCGATTCTGGGCCTCCCCTAGGTCGACTCGGCCTCAAACGAGTAACTGTTGTGGTGTGAACATCGCCACTGAGGAGACAAAGGCGGCCGGGTGTGGTGAATCCAAGTCCCGGGCGAAGCCGGTTAGTACAGCTAGTATATAAAGCGGAATTTTACGACCCCCC